TTATGTAGTAGATATTCTTGGTCATCCTGTCTTGCGCAAGATCATTCATTTTAGTTGTCATCAGGCCAGTGTATTCATTTATAAAAAGGTAACTCCTGGAAAATCAAAGAGTTGTCCTTAACGTAAATCATTGGCCGGTGAAGAAGGTTAATAAACTCGATTGCTAATGAATTATGTACACAAATTATTTGTAATATACAGAGAGCAGACACTTGCTTTTGGAATTGAAACTTTCACAAGATATACCTTCAAAAGTAGCACGGTGGTATATGACTTTCTTTGTGCCATATATTTCGTCATTTATTTCTAGATCATATATCTATTAAAAAAAACAATTCAGTTAACCCAATAAATTAGTAAATCCTAATAGTGTAAAGAGAACGATGGGGCTAACTATTTCAAAAGAATAGATAAATGGCTTTAAATTAGTGAATAATTATGGACCATCTAAAAGTCCGAAATTATTAAGAAACTAAGTTAACTCCGTAAGGTAACGTTGCTTTTAAACAGACTTAATTTTTTACAGTTCTGTTTGTCATATTGCAAATTTGCACGTTATTAAATGTATATACATTGTATTCCTCTTGAACTGAACCAATCATACATTTTAGCAATTAAACTATGTAAATAGTTTAAAGTCAATGTACAATGACATAGGGGTATGGCCAAATAATCTTCATCCAAAGGATATGTTTTATTCATTAGATTGTTTGGTTTTTTTGTTTGGCTTTTTTTTTTGGAGGGGGGAGGCTGTTTGTCATATCAGGATATTTCAATATAACACAATTCAAACGAGAAAACTAACGGCCTAATTAATGTACAAAAAAATGAACGAAAAACAAATATGTAACACAGCAACAAACGACAACCACTGAATTACAGGTTCCTTACTTGGGACAGGCACATACATACAGACTGTGGCAGGGTTAAACATGTTAGCGGAATCCCAACCCTCCCCCTAACCTGGGACAGTGGTGTAACAGTACAGTATAAGAACGAAATATAAAAAATCAGTTGAAAAAGGCTTAACTCATCAGATGGATACAAATAGAAATACATCTAACAAAAACAAAGAGTGCACGTGGCCGGGTACTTGTACATCCCAACAACAAAAAGACACTAAATACAGATCTGAGTGTACTAGCAGTTACTGATAGCTAGTTCAAAGCCAATAGCAACTAATATAAAAAAAAACAAGCATCAATGACTAAATAGCATGTTTTACTTTTCAGAATATGCCTATATCCAAACAGACCAAACAAGTATACATTAAATTAGGCAAATCTATAACTAAGACTGGTTCCTATAGATTTATAAAAAATATCAAAAGGCACAGAACAAACACAAATCCCCAGTTTGACATGCTTTCACGTGATCAGTAACTGCGTTATTACAATTTATTTTTGCAACAAGTAGGCCGAAGTTATTGAAATTAAATTGTCCTACTGGGATTTTTATGTATATTTACATATATTAAAAGTCCTATAGTAATCAACGAATAGTCTGAAATAGTGTCAGTCCAATTTAATTGGTTCAAAAAATTGTAATATTATGCGTTATAGACATAAGCATTTGTCTCTAAAAAATAACTACCTTTAATTGGCCAGGTGACAACATTTATCATATAATGAGGTATCTCTAAAAAATAACTACCGTTAATTGGCCAGGTGACAACTTATATCATATAATGAGGTATCACTAAAAAAATAACTACCTTTAATTGGCCAGGTGACAACATTTATCATATAATGAGGTGTTACTAATAAATAACTACCTTTAATTGGCCAGGTGACAACATTTATCATATAATGAGGTGTTACTAAAAAATAACTACCTTTAATTGGCCAGGTGACAACATTTATCATATAATGAGGTTTCACATTTTTATCATTCAAATGATTCTGACCGACAATTTAAACAGGTCCAATAGATATAAAAAAAAATCTATAAAAATATGTGGCATAATGCCCATGAGACAAATCCCCACCAGAGACAACATGACATAGAAGTTACATTGTGCCAACTAAAGGTCACTGTACAACTTTTACAAAAAATGAATCAATGAGCACATCGCAAAGAATACAAATGCGGATCCATGATTTTGAAAAAAATAGGAAGATGGGGCATTACATGCGCAACGTTGGATGTCAAACAAGTGAAAACTCTAGGCATTTACCATATATGTTGCTCCTTAAAATGAAACAGTGTAAGCTCCATTTACTTTTGAGTAAAGTTTAGGTATGAGGGGTGCGATATGGGCCAATTTGATGGATACAACAGAATATTACAAAATCATTGGTTTTCGATACAGTGTTCTTTATTATTCTCTTGCAGGACAACAGATTAAACGTACAGAGCTGGCCAGGATAATTTTTGCAGTTGGAATATGTTTGTGACCTGTTACTTAAGGTTGCATGTTTTACTTTTGTACACAGAATATACATTTTCATCCAGTCATTGGCTAGATTATTTTGGGGATTTTTTTCGGGCTATTCCCAAATCCCCCAAATCCTGTAAATATCAAATGACCGTCCCTTTTGTACAATAATGTTGTATACTTTTCATTTAATAATGATTTTTTTTTCATAATTGGTAAGTATACGACCGTTCGATTTTCGCAAATCCCCATCATCCCCCCCCGCCCCCTCTCTTAAAGTTGAGATAATATGTAAAAGTCATATGCTATCTTAATTGAAAATGTACAATAACTTCTATAAAAACAAAAAAAAACAAAAAGCAACATTTAAAAGAAATTTGATTATTCATTCTAGAATCCTTTTCCGGTAAACCCGCTGCCCAGTGAATACAGACACTATACACATGTCTGCCTTTCCGTCCATGGTCTTTTGTGTGTTTATAATTCATGTATGAAATGAAAGTTGATGCGAACAGAACTTTTGAATCGAAAAGTGCGGGTTGAACACCAGAGTACTTTATAATATGTACAGATTCTATAGGTGTTGCAGTTTTTAAAATTTGCTGTTACAAATTATTTTTTATAGTAATAAGGAGAACATTTTCGTTTCTCATTGAGCCAATGCAGTTTTAGAAATGAGTTGCAATGATCTTAATAGATAACTATTCAACTTGTCACTACAGTGTTTGTATAAATTGCAGTATCGAAACAAAATTGGTTGATATTTATCCGCAGTTATCTTCAATTTTATATCGTTGAAAGTATATTGGTGATTAAGTGACCACTGTCACTTTAATAGAATGTCTGACGTTAATATAACAACGGTTCACATGCGTATATTTTGAAAATAAGACATTAAACCTGAGTTATAATAAAGAGAAAAGGTGATGATAAGTGCATTGTCGCTGGTTGATTTTTGATTCAACATGTTTAAATTTACAAATTTTGTACAATTTTCCTTAACCTCACGGCAGAATTGGTATACGATATTTTTACGATTCAAAATTTTAATTGTCTGATTTATACAGATATATCACATACATGTAGTTGTTTAGTTAACTGACAATGTTTTGTTTATACAGATATTTCACATAGTTGTCTAGCTAATTGACAATGTCTGATATATACAGATAATTCACATAGTTGTGCAGTAACGGACATTGTCTTATTTATAAAGATAAATCATATAGTTGTCTAGTTTACTGACAATGTCCTATTCGTACGGATTATTCATATAGTTGTCAACTTAACTGACAGTGTCTTATTTATGCAGATAAATCACGTAGTTGGCTTGCTAACTGACAATGGCTTATCTATACAGATAATTCACATCGTTGTCCAGTTAACTGAGAATGTTTTATCTATACAGATATATCACATGGTTGTCTAGTTAACTGACAGTGTCTTATTTATACAGATATATCACATGGTTGTCTAGTTAGCTGACAATGTCTTATTTGTACAGATATATCAAATGGTTGTCTAGGTAACTGACAATGTATTATTTATTCAAAATATATCACATGGTTGTCTAGCTGATTGACAATACCTTATTTTTACAGATATATCACATGATTTTCTAGTTATCTGACGATATCTTACTTATACAGATAAACCACATGGTTGTCTAACTAACTGACAAGGCCTTACTTTTAAAGACATATCCGTCTGGTCATCATAAATAGGAAAAGACTAAATTTTGATAATAGACTAAATTGAGAGGTGATTAAATTCCGAATCGTTCCCAATACATTAATTGTATCTGATGCTTTAGATTAAATTGTATTGATGTAATACTATACGAGTGTTCCTATTGAAACGGTTACTGTATTCAAAATTATACCTAAAGTATATGAAGAAAGTCATGTCTACATTGTTTGGGTTTGTTATTGCTATTATGCCATCTTTTTGACTTTTACACAACATTTACTATAGAGCATATTCTAATATTATTAATTACCAATACGTTCAAATGTCAAACATAAAACAAAATGGCGCACACAAGAATACACATAGGAATGTTGATTTAAACATCAACCTCGATATATGCATACAGGTTGACAAAAATAATTATTGAATGGAGTTATTGGCGCATGACAATATGACAATTAAATTTAAACAATTCATTTGGAGTATCATATATCCTTATTGTATATATTATTCAGTCTTTTATCCATCGTTTAAAATACAATGAACAATTAACACAGTTTCATCATACAATTGTCTAATTAACAGACAATGTCAAATTAATACAGATTAAGCCAATAGTTGTCTTGTTAACAGTTGATGTTCAAATAATACAATCATATCATATTCTTGTCTAGTATAAAATATAAAGTCAAATTGATACAGATATATCACATAGTTGTGAGGTTATCGAACAGTGGTTTATTAATTCATTGTTTTCCGTTTGATCATTATAAAGCGAAAACACCCAACCATAATCTATTAAATGGAGACTACTTGGTCATGACAGGGTTCTGAAACGTACCAAATGCATTATGTTGTATCTTATGTTTTGGGTCAAATTGTATGGAAGTTTTACACGACTAGAATTAAACAATTTTCTTATATCTTTACTTACCGATAAGTGCAAATGTTCCTCATCAAATAAAATGGTGCACATAAGAATTCATTTATATGAATGTGTACTTAAACCAAACATCGACACGCAAATAGCCAGTAACAACAGGTTTAAAGAAATGATTTTTGAATGGAGTTATCGGCACACGACGAAGTTCGTGTTTGTGTCATTCAAAAAGACATTTAAATTTTAAATTGAAGTATCAAGTAACTACGCCATTATGTGATGTTATAAGTCAGTGTATTACTTTGGCTAGACAAAACGCAAAATAACAACAATCGACATTTACGAATTAATTATCACCAATGAATATTTAGCTGTGTAATGATATGAAAAAAATATATATTAAAAGCAGTACCTAACCGGTATATGAATATTGTAACCACTGGAAAGATTAATTTGGATGACTTTCCACTAAATTTGTTTACCGCTTAGCCAATACTACTTTTCGTTAACTAAAAGTCCCCAAAAATTGCCAGTGTTACTGTCGTCGGTGGTTTTCTATTGTTACTCCGACTCCCATTATTTATAAAACCGGGCAGCTTTGATATAGTCCAGGTCACTACGGGTTTCGCTAAGCACAAACAAAGAAACACACTAACATCTGAGGGTTTTATAATTTCTTTATAGATGCTGATTTTTCCGATTGTGTTGCTTTCGTGGTTGTGACATTTTGACTGAGTGTAAAACAGATATTTCATAATTGTCATCCTACTCGTGAAGGCGTCCGAACTTTTTTTGAAGAGAATTAAAAGAATTTAATTGCATGTTCTTCTAGTTATACGTCATTGTCCAATTAGTAGAGATACATCACATACTTGTCTTGATAACTGACAATGTCATGCTTATACAGATACAACACATGGTTATCAAGATAACTAAACATATCTTATTTATACAGATATTTCCGTTTGTACATAATAAAGCGGAACAGACCCAATGCAGATATAGACACTAGATACTATTGGGCGGTGACTAAATTCCAAAATGTACCAAATACATTACATTGCATATTATGCTTTTGGTTAAATGGTATTGATTTATTACTTTACGGGCGACTTCCTCGTTCCTATCAAAATCTTAAAAGTGTATTCAAAATTAAATTTAGGATATATTTGAACAAGACATTAATTGTATCTTATGCTTTGGGTGTAATTGTTTTTTTTATGTATTACCATACAAGTAAATTCATCGTTCCTATAAAAAAAAAAGACTTTATTCAAAAATATACCTGGGATATTTGATAAAAGTCAAATCTACATTGCTTTGGTTTCAATTGATATTTTTAATATGCTATCTTCTTGAAGTTTATAACAAATTTACTATTTAACTAATTCTAATATCATAACTTACCAATAAGGTCAAAGGTCAAACAAAATGGCGCACACATAAATACAAAAGGAATTTTGTTTTAAACCTCATCATCGATATTTGATTACAGGTTGAGATAAATAACTATTGAATGGAGTTATTGGCACGTGACATAGATTTTGGAATGCCATTCGAAAAGACATTTAAATTTAAACAATCTCTTGTAGTATCAGATATATCCGTCCTGATTTAATTTTATTCAGTGTTTTATATTTGTTAAATGAAATATAAGATGGCAATAATCAACATTTATCTGTACCATTATCTGTCAAATAATATAGTTCACTATGATTCATCTTCTTGTAGCTAATCAATGCAATGTTCTAAGTTTTGTCCTAAAATGTCTAGTTAAAGGCCTCGTAACTTTGTAATGTTTTAATTCACCAATTAGTACAGGTAAAGCATTTGGTTGAATAGTTAACTGACAATGTCTTATTTAATACAGATATAGTACATGGTTGTCTAGTTAACTGACAATGTAGTATTTATACAAATATTGCACATGTTGTTAAGATAATTGTCAATAACTTATTTATACAGATATATCGAATAGTTGTTAAGATAACTGACAATGTCATATTTATACAAATATATCTAGATATATCCATTTGTTCATTATAAATCAAAAACAACCAATAGGCATTTGCACAATGGATACAACTGGGCTTGATATGATACCGAAACATACACAGTGTATTGTATGGCATCTTTCGATATTGATGTACAAAAAACACTAACATACATCGTTGCTACTACAATTACCAGGCTATATCAAAATATTACTATGATATGTAAAAATGTCATATTCTACTTTTTTGAGTTTTGCATTGGTCAAATGCTTTTGTTATTGATGTTTACATTACATTTACTATTTATCATTTTCTTATAAATTTACTTACCAATACATTCAAAAGTCCTTGACAAAACAAAATGGCGCAAACAAGAATAAAGATATGAATGTATATTTAAACCAAACATCGATATGTTAATATCTAGTCACTTCAGTCTTAAATAAATGACCTTAAAATGGCGTGAAGTTCGTTTATGTGTCATTCAATAGGACATTTAAATTTAAACGCGTTACTAGAAGTATCATATATTTATTTCCTGTTAGTATTAAGTGTTTTATATGGGCTATATGAAAAATTAGATAACAACAATCAACATATATGGATGAATTATAACTTGATGAATATCTACCAGTGCTATACACTGTCAATTATCATAGTCCACTAGGATACATTTTATGTAGATATTGACCTTTTAACTGGTTATTATACTCACATGGTATGCTATTTGTAACTTTCTTTCCAATCAAAGTATGTTAAATATATTTGAAAGAATAATTTGAAAAGGGACATTTTAAAAAGCATTTTTTTTTTTCAATTTTAAATTGTTTAGGCACAAATTTTTATAGATGAAACTATTCGATTTAAACGTCAAAATTTATCATCAAAAAGCTCAGTATTAAAATAGGCATAGTTTCTATAAAATATACCCTTTGGCCATGAAACATGGACAACTAAGTATTTATGTGTTGATATTTCTTTTGCTATGCTTTATTCAAATTGCATTACTCATTCGCAAACTCTGGATCTAGAGAAACGTAGATTATCACAGAAAAAATATGCAAAATGTTTTGTACTTATTCCCCTGGTCAAACAGCCTGTTCGATGCATGTGAAATGTGAAAAGCTTTGTTCATAAATTTGGAAGTCCATCATAAAATATGAACTTTACATGGATAAAAAAGAGGCGAAGGATTCCAAAGAGACATTCATTCTCATAAGTCGAAAACAAACTGACAACGCCATGGCTAAAAAAGAAAAGACAAACAAACAACACTACACTACACAGAGCAACATAATTGCCATTATTATTATAAATGGGGATGTATATACGGTCAGTTCACGAGAAGTTGTAAGATTTAGTACCATATTTGATGTTCTGATTTTGGGCCGTTTTAACATGTGTAGGCTATTTTTAAAGTAATGATGGGAAGAAGCAAGGTATCACAGAAAAACAATAAAAGTACTTGACGTACAATATAAAAATACGAAGATGAGATATGATTGGCAATGAGACTCTCCACCAGAGACTAAATGACATCAAAGTTATCAACTATGGGTAACTGTACGGCCTTCAACAACTAGCATAACCCATATTGCAAAGCAAGCGCACAGGCATCAAAATAAAAAGTGTAAAACAATTACACAAAAGAGTCTTTCACAGTTATTGCAGCTATCTTGAATAGGAGCAGCTTGTCATAATTTAAATGAACAGGTTTGGAACACCTTGAGACAGTAAAACATCATTGAAACAGAACAGTTGATTGGCAACATTCATTATAGCCGACTATACGATATGGGGGGTATACTCATTGTTGAAGGCCGTACAATTGCCTATAATTGCTTACATCCACTTCATTTGAACTTTGGTTGATAGCTGTCTCATTGGCACATCTCCTTATTTTTATATATGTTTTCCGATATGTTCTTACTATTTCTTCCCAATCCTTAAATTCTGCCCCCTATTTAATATGACTGCAACCTATTCAAATAAAAACAAAACAGCCTATGTAATGTACAAGACAATAAACAACAAAAACGTATTTGATATACAGCAACAAACGTCAACCTCTGAATTACAAGCTCCTGACTTGGGACAGGCACATACAGAAAGTAGAGTAAAACATGTTTGCGGATACCCAGCTGGGACAATGGTGTAACAGCATTCCACAAGAACAAACTATAATAACAGTTGAAAACGGCTTAACTCATCAGATAAATGAAAAGCACAAAACAACTAGCAAAAAAATACAGGACTTTATATGTATTTGGTCAATAGACCCCTATTCTTTAACATGACGTTGAATATTAAGTGTTGAATTTATGAACCGTGTCAGATAAGACCTAGTCAGACAAATAGAATGCATTTATCTACAGTGCACACAAGTTTTCATTCTGAAATTTACCGAAAATATTCAAATTTTATATGTTTAAATCAATTCAACATTTGGTTAAATAACGTTTATCGAAACTTAAATGTTTTCTCATTTAATCCCTGTGAATACCTATATTGTCCAAGAGACAATTCATATCAATGATCAAGTATTCACAAAATTATTGCCCTTTATCTGCAAAATGCAATATATGTCAAAAGATCCAAGAATGAAAAAACAAAGCACTGGAAAATTTATAACCAATTTGAGCCACTAAATACTATAACTTTGATGGATAGTTGTCTCATTTGCAATTAAACCACATCTCCTTATCTGTAGATGTATCCATATCACAACAGTTATAATACACGTTCCAGGGAATAATTCCTAATCTATTCAATAGATAAAGAGATACAGTTCAATGGGACTGCAATTTGACAAAAACAAGAAATCAGTCTTTACCATAAACCAACAGCTCCTAATCTAGGCCAGTGAACTTGTTTAGGTCAAGTACTGCCTTCTAAATTATTCGGTAACCCCAAATACTTTTAAATCACTTATTGATTTTGAATGAAGGTTTCACAAAACATTTTCTTTCAATTACCGGTATTTCATTTTGCATTTCCTATTTTTCCTATCTAACTTTTGTTAGTGTGTGTGGACCATTCTTATACGACAACAAGAACTTACCCATATATATTCAAGAATTATTATTAATTTTACATGTTTTATATGCAATAGGTCGTTCAAAGTGTTGTTTTTACTCATTTTAAAGAATTCGGGTATGTGTGAACTTAGATGAAAGATGATATGCATCATTGCATTTATGAAAATGAGAAGAAGAAAA